TTCAGTATGTAACCTTTTCAACCAACAGAACTGTTCTGTATATATTTGGATCTCCAGGGGTACATAGCAAAGTATTGGTCCTAGTGTTGCTGCTTAACATTTATTTACTGTTTTCAAGTAGCTTTGATAGTTGAAATGTGTTGTGTCCTTTCAGTTTGCCCTTCTTCCCAAAAGCTAAAAAGCAGTTTTATATTAAATTATAAGATGAAATGTAGAACCTTCTTTTCTCTTGACAATTACAACTATTATTTTGAAGAATTCATTCATTAAGAGCTGATCCAAAACTGAGCATGGTGTCTCAAACCTGAAATCCCAGCTACTCAGGAGGTAGAGACAAAAATGGCTTTTACAGCCAGTCTAGCAAAAAGTTAATAATACCCCATCTCAACAAATAAACTGCAAAAGGTGGTACATGCCTAGGATACCAGGTAAAAGGAGGAATAATTAGGGTCACAATCCAAGGCTGACCCAGACAAAAGGTGAGAACTTCTCTGAAAAATAACTAAAGCAAAAAAAAGTCAAGTGATAGACATTGCAATCAGAAGGCCGAGTTCAAACTCCTGTACTGGGGGACCAAAAAACAAAAAACCTAAGAATAGTAAAAAAAAAAAAAAGAAAGAAAGAAAATATGAAAAAGCTTTGTTATTTCTAGTTCAGCTTAATTCAAGTATTCTTTCTATTACTCCTAGGACAATAATTGAATTATAACTAGGAATAATGCTCAAAACTACAAGGATGTGGTGTTGTTTCTTCAAGTCTTTTGCTCATTTCTTTTTTTCTGAGATGGGGTCTCCTTTTCTATTCCATAGTGTACTGTCTGTTTTTTGTGCCATTACCATGCTGGCTTTGCTATTATGTCTTTGTAGTATATTTTGAAGTTGGGTATTATGCTACCTACTTCTTGAACTCTGGGTCTGGGCACTGTCCCTCAGCTCTTCAGCTCAAAGCTGAGCACTCTACCACTTGAGCCAAGCGCCACTTTCAGTTTTCTGGTGGTTAGTTGGAGATGAGAGTCTCAAGGACTTTCCTGCCTGGGCTGGCTTTGAACTGAGATTCTCAGATCTCAGCCTCTTGAGTAGGTAGGATTACAGGCAGGAGCCACCAGAGCCTGACTTGCTTGTTCTTTTCTGTACAAGATTGCTTTCCTATTTCACATCTTTGGTGCTTCCAAATGAATTTTAAAATTTTGGGGGGTAAGGCATGATGTTTAGTTCTTTGATGATGATATTGATGATCTAATATCAGCTCTTTATTATATGTAAACTTTTCCCTATAGAAGATATATAAATGTAACATATTTATAAGATGATTTTTTTGTTGCTTTGTATGTCCCTCCCCCACAGTGCACCCCTGTTTTCACTGTATTCGATGTTGGTATAATTTGTGGAGGGGAAGGGAAAAAACAAATTGCTTAAATTGAGATACAGGTGGACCCATTGCAACAATGAGATGTACAAGACGTTAAGTCGAAAAACGAACTTTACAACTTTGGTGGGGGGGGGGGAAGGGGAGAGAAGAGAAGAGATGGGAAGGGGAAACAAAGGAGGAGGCAACTATGTTTGATAAGAAATGTACTCATTATCTTGCCCATGTAATTATAACCCCTCTGTACAGTATTTTCACAATAAAAAAAGAAGATATACAAATGGCCAATAAACACATGAAAAGATCAACATTTCTAATTATTAGGGAGATTCAAAACAAGCTACAAAGAGATCATCTCAGATCTATTAGGGTGGTGCAAGCAAGAAAGAGAGAGGGAGAAGATGGAAGGAAGG